GAACTCACCACATCTCTCACAAGCCCTGCGTCCGCATTTGACTGCAACCTCCGACAACTTACCAGCAGCAGGGCTTGAGCGCATGAGATCATCTACAAAGTGGTACAGGTCAACTGTGCAGTCCACCCACGGTCCCACCCCCGTCCTTCCCTCGCAACCCACCTGTACAATCTCGCTTCCTCCGCGTCTCCTTCTGCTGGCCGCCGTACCTGAACACGCTCCGTCGCGTCGCATCTGCCGTCCCAGTCTCCCAGGAATTCTGTCCGTGGAATCATGCTCTCTCCAGGTTGCGACCCTGCTTTTCAAACGTACAAGAGTCGGCTGAAGCTTATATCGGCTACCAGCTGCAAGTTCTCAACCATCTCAATGCAACGTGATGTGAGCACGCTGCAGCGCAAATCTACCGGCGGCCGTGTCCTCCGTGTCATGACAAGTCCGCTACGGCTACCCTAGTGTGCAGTCTTGGCCCCTGCGGACAATTTGATCGCCGCCGCATGTGCAATCCCCTCTTGTCGCAGTTATCAAAACCCTCGAGGGCGGCAGGCTTTTGAGAATGCCGTTGACTCGGGCAAGCATAGCGACGTGACAAAATATGATCCGGGACGTTTGCCGCTGTATGTACGGCATGGCATCCGCCTGTCGGTGCGTGCAGCTGTGGACAATTAGGTGAGTCTCGCATGGCATTTGTTTCATGTCGTTCGCACTGTGGCAGGGACCGTATCGCCCGATCACTGCGCTGCACCAGCACAGCTGACAAGGTGATACTGACCTGTTGCCCCTCCCTCTGCACGTACACCGTCGGGGGATGTCGTTGTTTTGCGGTTGCGCCAACAGATGTCTGAGATTGGGTACCCCGGCTGGTACGCTGGAATGTCGGTGGTTGGTGCACATAGTTACGTACATATACCGGTCGCTTTGAAATGAACAAATGAATAACCGCGTTGCGATACACGCACCGAAGCCTCGCGCGAATTTGGGCACCCAACATGACTCAGGAGTGACGCTCACCTGGCTCGCCCCATCAAGCAACAACCACTGTTTGCGGGCGTGCGCCGCCGACGAGCAAATATAGGATATCGGCAACATACCGTAAGAGCACCCTGCCGATAGCCACAACATTTTCTTGCCGGCTGTTCCTCAATGGTTACCCGCGGCTGCTTTTGTGAGTTGTCTGGTGCTCAATAGCACTTCTCTCTCTGTGCTCCCACTTGGCACCCGTACCCTCATTCCCCTTTCTCCCTTCACTGTCCGCTTTGTCTTTCAACATGGCATACCCCCTTCCTGTGATATCGGCCGGGCTCTCGACGTCGCCTCCAGAGTCCACGGCTAGCTCCGTTGCCACCCTCTGCTCATGGGACACCTATCTCACCATCGCTCACACCTACCTCGTTCGCTTCGAGCACATCGCAAGTGCACTTGTGGTCGCGCTCTCTAATGCCACAACCGCCATCCAAGTTTTCGGTGCTCAAACTTACGCTGATACCGCCCAGCCTGGAGCGCAAGGGCTCGGCGTCGTCTGAGCAGCAACCCCGAGCGCGACAAAGGCTTTGTGGGCAGCAGGGCGTCCAGACGGTCTCCGTTCCCATTCAGCGGTAATCCGAAGACCTCGCCTGGGTCACTCAGCGTTTCCAACGACGGCGCACAGCTAAGCCAAGGCCCGTCCTCGCCCGTGCTGCTATCGCCACCGACAATCGTCGAGGTCGAGCCGACTGAGGAGGACGGGAACAAAGCACTCGTCGCAGATGGTGCACCCCTCGTCGGTCTCACTAAAGCCTCTAGCACTGGCTTGACATGGGCAACTCACGAGCGGCTCACCATCCGACTTGGTGGCAGACATGCTGCTAGGTGCAATTCACCATCGCCGCAGCCAAGTCGCTCCGCTGCAGAGTCTCCAGCGGTCCGGGCCTACCACTCGCCTCACTCGCTTTTGTCCACAACGGCGGGAAACCGGACATCTTGGTGAGTTGGTTATGCGCTGACGTCTTGGAGAGTGGGCAGATTTGGTACTGATGTCTGCATTGCTGCGGGGCCCAGGGTGGTTTTGGTCGCAACGGCAGGAATTGCAATTTCGTACCGACATGTGCTTGGACAGGAATAGATTTCAGAGGAAGCTTGGTATGTACTTCCTTATGCACACTACGACATCGTCCAGACTCCCCCCCCCCACGCGTCGCTTCATTGTGTTGTGACCACCGCATTACTCCACTGCTGAGTCTCCGGTGGCTTGGTGAGCTGCATGTGCGGTGGCACTTGCCATCTGGACGCGACTATGCAGTTAGTGCCAATTGGGTGTTGGTACATGGGGTCACGACGGGGCACCTACGCACCTTGGTACCGCTGCGTTCAAGTCAAACATGGTGATCGAGTTGTACAGAAAACAAGGACGTACCTGATGGTACTTATGGGGAACGGAGGGCGGGTTTGGCACCGGTGCGTCCTCGGATGACAACGGATCCGGAGTGGGGAAGAGGCTCAAGAGTGAGTACGTACCTTGCTTTGTGCTTCCGCGCCGCGATATTGTTCTCATTCTCGTCATTCCTCCAGAAGCTCCACGGCTATCGTTCTCTGCTGCCTGGCGGGCTTGATTTGGGACGTCTGGCCGGTTGACTGTGCTGATGCATCCGGTATAGACAAGGCAGATGCGGAGAACCGTGTAAGACGCGTGTTTGGCGG